CTATAGCCACAATCCTTTCAAAAGGCTGTGCTGATCCCTGTATTTCCTAAGTTTTAGTCTTCAGCTCTATGTTAGATTGCATGCCACTGTCCAGTATTTTTCCAGCAGAAGTCTTTTACTCAAATTAGTCCAGAATTGTTTTTTTGCTAATTGTGAGCAAAAACTGAATGGCACTTGAGGTCAATTTTAGTTTTTATTTTGATTCTCATTCAATCAAATATCCCAGATATATTATAAGTCATGAGATGACAAGATGAACAAGATTTGTACTGGCATGGAAATTTCAATCTAGCTAAGAAAACAGACATGACAAAAGTGAATGAAGTATTACTACGAAAGGATGTCATTTATTTATTAACAAATAATTATTGATCACCTATTAATATAAGGCACTGTTCTAAGCCTTAGAACATCAGTAAAGAAAACAAAAATATCTTCCCTTGTACCTGTTATCAGGGGATGAAAATAGTATATAGAAACATAGAAGTAAATTTAAAAATACTATAGATTTAGAAGGTGGTAAATACTATGAGAAAAATTGTTAAGCAAATCAGAAGGAGTGGTATATCAAATGATCTAGAGGCCAGAGAGAAATGACAAGTTAGAGAAATGAATTCTTATAACTGAAACATAAACCATAAGGCCAGTGGCTCAAAATGAGCATCAAGACCTTACATTGTTAAGGTCTTTATAAGTCATTCTGAGGATTTTCAATTTTATCCTAAAGCAATCTGAAGCCACTTAAGTGTACAAACTATTGACTGACATGATCAGTTTTACATTTTAAATTTATCATTTTGCTTGTAACCTGAAAAACACATTGCAAAAAAACAGTGGTGAGTTACTGAATAATTAGGAAGCTGTTGTCTTGTCCATGAGAGAAATGGCGGTGCCCTTAACTGGCTTGTTGTTCACAATAGGCAGTGGTAGAAGTGACAACATAGCTGTTAGCCAGGCTTAGATTTTTAGCTTCTCACATTTAGAACAAATTAATAGAAATTCAAATTTATCTTATATTCCTCAGGATTTGATGCTATATAAAGCCAATCTGAAATGTTTACCAATTTTTCATTGGCTTCATGGTTGCCAAGTTTAATTCTGCCTCATCTTTAGGAATAAAAGTATAATTTGTAAGTATTTAAGGAAGCATGGCAGCAATAAGATAGACATTGATTCTACTCCTCTGTATTTCTGTCTTCCTGGCCACATAGTACCATTCTCAGATTCTGAGAGAAACAACATAAAGCACAATCAGACCAAGTATACACCACTTTATTGACAGGCTCTTCTCCCTACATCCTTGTGTTTTTTTTTCTCTTTCCAAGTCAGATGGTATAGATGATGTAGGAGAAAAGTACATCTTCCATTATCACTCCACTTTTTTAGCCTAGAATAAGGGTTACATGCTGGAAAGCAATGGGACGTTTGGCCTCCATATCATGTTAAGACATTTTATAATACTCACATAGTATTTTTATTTTTTTAAGATTTATGTTACTTAGTTGAAAGGCACACTGACAGAGAAAGAAAGAGACAGAGTCAGAGATCTTCCATCAGCTGGTTCACTCCCCAGGTGATCACAAAAGCCATGGTTGGGCCAGGCCAGGCCAGAGCTGCAGGAACCAGAAATTTCATCCATGTCTCCCTTGTGGGTGGCAGACATACAGGTACTCAAGCCATCATCTACTGCTTCCTAGACATATTAGGAGGAAGCTGAATCGGAAGTAGAGTAGGTGGGACGCAAGCCAACGTTCTGATAAGCGATAGGGGCATCACTAGAGGTGACTTAACCTGCTACACCCCAAAAACAGTGAAACTAGACAATTGTTATGGTTTATTGCTGCAAAAGCAATTTATCAGTTAATCATTTTGATAAGTAAGATTATTCTCCCTCAATTATTTAGTTTAATTTCTAGCTTATACATTGACCTCACAGTAAGCAACCAATACTTCACTTCCATCTGGATATAGCTCAGGCTCTTTCAGTTCTTATGTTAACCTTCAAGTCCCCTGAATCATGCCCTGCCAGTTCCAAATGTCATTAAAAAAGGTGTGGGGATGAGACTTTTTTTTAAATTCTCTATTTCTCCATAAATTTCTCTTACCATTCTTGAAGACATGAAAAAGAAAAACTACTGTATGTCACCTTTTGTGATATTGGGACATGGCTTCCTATAGCCTGATTGAGTGTCCTCTAGAGAAATTTACCTCTCCTAAGAATACTTGGGACTGTGGCATGGGGAAGTGGAGCTTAGGAGCATAATAATTTTTTACTATTCCCATTGTAATATCTTATTATAAAAATGTACTTTTTAAACATGGGTTTCCATCTTGTATTACTTTGTGTCTTGGAGTTTCTCCCTCATGAATTACTTTGCATCTTGTTTGAAGTGAACCATTTTAAAATTTATATCCTGTCCTACTTTTATTTCAAGACTTTACTTAAAATATCTTCTTTTCTCTTCACTCTGCTCAGATATGCATGAACATTTTATGCATTTCACACTGCTTGAGATGGAAAAAAATAATATGCTAATCGGAGGAGTGGTAAAATCAGATTCAGAATAGAGATTTTATTCCCAAAAGAGTGGACAATGATATATCAGTTATCACCATTGTTAATGTAACAATCATGCAGAACATGTGAATTAATAATACCAGAATGTAGAACATCAATTTGGGGGACTATTCTCAACTTCAAAGAGCCCAACACGGTGATTGTTTGCTTCTTGAGGTCAAGGAATGTGTTCTGACTTCATTTAGTATCCTCTACTCCACCCAGGGAGTCAAGCATCCGTATATGCTTCGGCTTAGATGAGTGAGTAAATTGAAATTAAGAATAAATAGGAGACATTTCATCCTGTACTTAATTTTGCTAGAAATCATAACACAGATGGCCAAAGAAGAGGTGTTGACTAGGAATTAAGTGCTGGATTAAAGAATTTTGTAAGGTGGGTGTGTGACCCCACCCAAGGCAAGTAAAATTCAGGGCAGGAGATGCTGAGAGGCAGGCTAGAAATTAGACAAATAGTCCTCAAATTTGAGGATACATCAACATCGCCTGATTTAATACTTCTGAAGTGGGGCCGGCGCCGTGGCTCACTTGGCTAATCCTCTGCCTGCGGCGCCAGCATCCCATTTGGGCTCAGGGTTCTAGTCCTGGTTGCTCCTCTTCCAGTCCAGCTCTCTGCTGTGGCCCGGGAAGGCAGTGGAAGATGGCCCAAGTGCTTGGTGCTTGGGCTCGTGCACCGGCATGGGAGACCAGGAGGAAGCACCTGGCTCCTGGCTTCGGATCAGCCCAGTGCTGGCCATAGCGGCCATTTGGGGGGTGAACCAATGGAAGGAAGACCTTTCTCTTTGTCTCTCTCTCTCTCACTCTCTATGTCTCTATCTGTCAAATAAATAAAAAAAAAATACTTCTGAAACACGGAGTGTTGGGCTCCACATCCTCAGAATTTCTGATTCTGTTGATTTGGGGTAGAAACTGAGAGATTTGCATTGCTAACCATCTGTCTCCCAGGTGATGCTGTTGCTCTTTATACAGGTAGCACACTTTGAAAACTACACGTTAGTCCCTGGGGATCAGAGCAGGCAACTTGCTCTGTGATCTGCACAGAGAAGGATGAGTTCAGAGATTTTTGACTAGTACTCAAATAACGTCATTAAGTAAATCTCGGAGTAGTTGAGGATCTTTCTTCCTCTTTATCTACGGGACTGATGACCATACTCTGGCAAGAAAAGTGAAGAATGGCTTCAAGAACTCAGACAAGAGTTAAAATTGCCTCACATAAGTATGGCAGAATATAGAGTATGTAGAATTGTCTTAGTAATACTTTCAGCTAAGTTAACCTAACTTAGTAATGTAAGATCACATATATTAAAGCTAATTTATATATCACTTATCCATTAAAATATCCTTACACTGCAAAGCAGGTTTCTGAGCTTCAGCTGACTGTGCATATGTCAAGGTAAAACGGGAAGAGTGGAGAAAGGGCAGCCCAAGGAGAGGGGAAAAGCATTCATGCAAAAGAAATGACTTAGAAAAAACCACATCCACTCACCATCCCCAGCCCTCTCCCAGGTAAGTCGCCTTAGGAAGTTTCTGGAAAAGCAGCAACACGTCAACAATCAGTTAGCAAGGGGATGTTACCTTACTGCAATACTGAAATGACAACTACCTAAAATTCAAAACTGATTTCATATGCTTTGTTGTGCTCAGCCAATTTGGGGGTCTTGAATTTTAAAACTTGAATATGATGAGGACAGCACTGTCCTGTGGCAGGTAAAGCCACTGCCTGCAATGCAGGCATCCCATATGGGTGCCAGTTCGAGACCTGGCTGCTCCACTTTCAATCCAGCTCTCTTCTATGGCCTGGGAAAGCAGTGGAAGATGGCCCAAGTGCTGGGGCCTCTGCACCCACGCAGGAGACCCAGAAAAGGCTCCTGGCTCCTGGCTTTGGATCAGCTCAGCTCTGGCCATTGAGGCCAATTGGGGACTGAACCAGCGGATGGAAGACCTCTCTCTTTCTCTCTCTCCTTTTCTATGTAACTCTGACTTTCAAATAAATAAATAAATCTTTAAAAATAAAAGAATAAAGAATAAATAAGAAAAACTTGAATATGAAGTTTCTGCATACTTTTTTCCAAATAATTTTATATCAAGCAGTAATCATTTAGGATCTTAGATGAGTTGACATCTATTTTCTTTACAGAATTTCTTGAACTAAAATTTCCTCAAGTTGCCAAAAAGAAATAGTGGTATTTCATTCAAATGAACTATGTCTAAAAACACTGAAACATTTTGGTAACCAAACACCGATTGGATTTTATTTTATTTTTGTGAACTTCAAAATCGAAAAAATTGTGCTTAATGATCTTAGAAGGTAAAGCCATAGCTCAGCTCGTGTCCTAAGAATCCCATAAAAATTACTCTGGAGACCTTGGCTGCACATTCAGCGGTCACATATTTCGGAGCTTCACTGCTCTCCTTCCCGTTACAGGTACATGTGACAGCACTGCAGCTATGAGTGGAATTTTAAAGAGGAAGTTTGAAGAAGTTGACGGCTCCTCACCCTGCTCCTCTGTGCGGGAATCGGATGATGAAGTTTCCAGCAGCGAAAGTGCTGACAGCGGGGACAGTGTCAATCCATCCACTTCTAATCATTTCACCCGTGAGTACTGATGCTTATGCTGAATGGCTGTTTCTGCAGCGAAAAGAATTGTTTCATGTGGGTCAGTTTTATTTTTATTGCCTCTTTTTTCAATCAAATACAAAGAAAAATAGCTAAAAATGAAATGTTTTTAAAAGAACTCTGTGGATTCCTATTTAGATTACTTTAGGTAGTAGATTGATTATGTTAACCAATGTGATTTGATTAAGGTTGAATTTTTAATATTGTTACTTTTCTAAGGAGGATCTCAGGGCCCTGGAATTGGTAGTGAAATAAGAAGTAAATCCAAGTTCAAAAAAAAATCTTCCCATAAACTGAAAAAAAAACCTCTGGAGGAAACAAAGGCTATATTTAGGAGTAAAACGTCTCAGTTATGATGAGAAAGGACTTAGGCAAGCATTAAGAAGAGTTGTGAAAGCAGCAAAACTCTCGTAAATGTGCAAGTGTAGGTAGTCTACTGCCTCTTCCTTGCTCAGCCCTTCATTCTGTGTTCCCCAAGGATAACATGTAAAGCCTAACAAGAGAAAAAATGCATGCTGTTTGTTTGATTCCTTTTCTGCCGCACTGTCACATCACCCATTCCTGTCAAGCAAGGTAATGTGAGATTTAAAGGACTGATGTGAGAAATTCTGAAAGCAATATAATCTATGACCCAAAGAAAACTCAACAGGAATACCTAAGTAGTACTTTTAAATTTATGTTCCTTTTTTAAAAAATGTTTTATTTTACTTATTTGAAAAAGTTACAGAGAGAGGTAGAGAGAGAGAGAGAGAGAGGTCTTTCATCTGCTGGTTCACCCCCTAAATGGCCACAATGGGTGAAGCTGCGCCAATCCAAAGCCAGGAGCCAGGAGTTTCTTCCAGATTGCCCATGTGGGTGCAGGGGCCCAAGCAGTTGGTCCATCTTCTGCTACTTTCCCAGGCACATTAGCAGAGAGCTGAATTGTAGGTGGAGCAGCCAGGACTCGAACTGGTGCCCATATGTGATGCTGGTGCTGCAGGCCAATGCTTTAACCTGCTGTGCCACAGCGCCAGCCCCTATAGTTCTTAAACATGAAGATTTTACTGTTACAGTATCAAGATAGATAACTGGTCTTGGTTTTGTATTTTAATATGGATTATATAATACAGAATTTTATTTGGGAAGTGTGGCAACTCAAAATCCAAATGTGTCAAGCATATTTCTAAGAAATTATAAGGAAACCAATAACTGTTGAACACAAAATAAATATATTAAAATCAACATCATTTCTTTAAACAAGCACAGAGAGAGAGAGGGAGAGACAAAGAGAGGTTCACTTCCCAAGTGGCCAGGGCTTGGCCCAGGCTGAAGCCATGACCAGCTTCTTCCTGGTCTCCCATGTGGATGCAGGGGCTCGAGGACTTTGGCTATCTTTCCCAGTAGAAAATATAATGAAAAATAATTATAGCTGCCATAGAGGAAAACAAGTCATTAAAAATTCAGGGATGAGCTTCTTAGGTGGTATAGGTGGCCTGCTAACACTTACACATTCCATGATGATGTGAAATGAGCTTGTAGTATTGATTCAAAAAAAGATATATGCATACTCTTGTGGTCTTAATAGTAATAATGATAATAACAGCAGCAGCAGCATGTCATAGTTTTTTGTGAAGATGAAGCAGAGAAAGTGAGATAATACATAGAAAAGAACTTTGTAAAATATCAAATACTGGTCTCAGATTATGCTAGCAACTGTGATCATAGCTAACATAAATATGTTATGCTATGCTATGCTCCAATAGCTATAATGAGGGGCCCTCAAAAATTTATGGAAAATGCATGCCCTAAATGAACATTTGCATGGTTTTCACAATGTTTTATAACAAAATAAACTTATTTTCATAAATTTTTAAACATTGGCTTGTCGACATTGTTTTTACTTGAAAGGTAGAGAGGTAGCAACAGACAGAAAGAGTTCTTGGCAACCACTGATTCCTTCCCTAAATGTCCACAACAGCCAGGGCTGGGCCAGGCCAAAGCCAGGAACTCAAAACTCAATCTGAGTCTCCCACATGGGTGGCAGGAACCAAAGTACTTGAGTCACCTGCTGCCTCCCCAGGTATGCATTAAGAGGAAGATGGGATCAGAAATGGAGCCAAGATTTGAACCCATACATACAACATGGGAGGTGAGTTTCTCAAGCAGCATTTTAACTGCTGTACCAAACACCATCCCAAACTCTTCTTTTAATTCCATGTTTTGAAAAAACATTTTGTTGTACCTGCTTTTACATTACCCCTACACTTTATGACAATCCTGAAAGTAAATAACACCTCCCCTCGTTTACAGAGGAAACAATTGACGCTCAAAGAGGCTAAGCATCTTCCCCGGATCACACAGATTGGAGCCCAGATCGGTTGATCCCTCTTTCCACATAATAGATGTCCTACTCCATCATCTTTGACTGTCCTATTATTTCATTCTGACCCCAATTATATAATATTGGGTGTATATTTAAAATATTACTTATTGCAAATTATAACAAGATTTGAATTACTGAAGTGGCAGTTTATGTTTCTGAATAGAACGATAAAGCCATTATACTTTCCACATTTGTTTATAAGTATCTGTGTACATTTTCAACAAAATACTCGGGGCCAGTGTTACAGTGTAGTGGGTAAAGCCTTCTGGTTCCGGCTGCTTCTCTTCCCACCCAGCTCCCTGCTAATGGCCTGGGAAAGATAGCCAAAGTCCTCGAGCCCCTGCATCCACATGGGAGACCAGGAAGAAGCTGGTCATGGCTTCAGCCTGGGCCAAGCCCCAGCCACTGCAGCCACTTGGAAAGTGAACCTCTCTCTGTCTCTCCCTCTCTCTCTATAACTCTGCCTTTCAAATAAATAAATAAATAAATCTTAAAAAAATATACTCAAGTGGATTTTCTTAGAAGGTGGTAAAATCCTCTGGAGAAATGAGCCAAAGAGAATAAAGGAATGTTTTTTAAAAGAAACCATAAGTGTTGAAAAGTCACTCCAGATATCAAATTTGAATAGAAAATGATTTGGTTTGATTTTTTTGTACAGTGCTTTACCTAGGAAAACAGAAAGTCCAACATGTTAATTATAAAAATTCAATATTATTGAGAAAATGTACATTATAAAATAATGGAAAAGAGAATAATTATTTAATGAATGTTTGTAGTGGTAGTAAATTTGAAAAAGAAGTAATTTAAACTCACATCTTATAACATATGCTAAAATATATTCCAAATGTATTAAATAAATATTTTTTTCAATCATGAGGAAAGTTTAATATTTTGTTAGACGTTTGATGGGATCATTATGTAACCTTTGAATTAACAGGGGAAAACTCTCAGGGGAAGACACTTAACATATTTAATGCTTTGAAAATGTTAAATTTCTCTGCTACAACAGAACATAACCCAGAGGAAAAGAAAAAATTCATATTGGAAAAAATATTTGTAATTAATATGCTACAGTGTTTTCTTTAGATGGAGTATAAAATACACATGTCAATTTTTGAAATAAACAATAAGATCCACCTCCTCAAAGATAATTTGCATAGGAAGAAATAATTAACAAATGTTTTAAAACACTGAACAATAATAAGAATAAAAATGCAGATAGAAATAATACCACTGAGATTTTCTCCCTGCGAAATTAGTATTCCTTCCCCCAGTTAAACATTGATATTGAACTGCTGGTCAAGGTCACAGTACAAACTGTGGCTTGCTACTAAAGGCAGTGAAATTTAGAGAGCACATTGGCAATATAACAGATATTTAAAAAGTTTTACGTCTGCGTTTAAGAGAATTTACCTGAAGGGAGAAATGCAGTGAAAATGCAGATGGTTAAGGGTAGTACCAAAAAGCGGAGGTGGTGAAGGGGGGAGGGGTGGGGAGATAAAATGTCCAAGAGTTAGCTGGTAACTAGTTCGGTTCATTTACTTTTGTGGAAGTAACAAAGACTTCATGGTATAATATGTCTACTATTTTTGAGATAATGTTAAGCATAGCAGAACACAAAATTTTGTCTGTACTCTCAGGTAAAAATCTTTGCATACACAAAGGCTAACAGTGGTGGAGTGTCCTCAAAGTAGGAAACAATTCAACTTGTTGAGAGATTAGGCTGATGGGTGAATTCTTGTATTTGTGGCACTCATTTTTGCTAATATTATATTTGTTCTCACAACCCAAACATTTCGTATTTATTTTATTTTATTTTTTTTAAATTTTATTCATTTGAGAGGCAGAGAGACAGAGCCAAAGAAACAGAGACGGTGATCTCCCATCTGTTGGTTTACTCCCCAGATGCCTGCAACAGCCAGTAGTGGGCCTGCTGGAAGCCAGGAACCATGAACTCTGTCCAGGTCTCCCACATGAGTGGCAGGGATCCAGTTACTTGAACCACCACTTGCTGCCTCCAGATCCACATTAAAAAAGAATTGGGAGTGCAGCCAGGACTCTAACCCCGGCACTCAGACACAGGCAATGCAAGTGGCTTCTTAACCACTACAGCAGACAGCACCCCAATTTCAAATTTACACATTTAAAAATGGCAACTGCTGTTCACTTTATATTTATGTGTGCAGAGCAGCAGATGGAAATGGCATGTTATGGTAACTTGTATAATACTTCAGCCAACTGATAGATGTTTTATTAGTTATGTCCGGAAGAGATTATTTTCCCATTGGAGAAAATAGGCTTATTTTATGATATCCAAGGAGTTATTGAAATGTTTCAGCTCATCATTTAATAACAATGTTAATAGCAGTGCTTAGATTACTAAAATGCTGATTTAATTTTGTATTAAATAGAATCTGCCAAAGATTTTTCATGAATTTTAAAGATAACTAAATAGATTATTTAATAAAAAGTGCCCTTTTCATTTAATAGTGTGCTTTGTTCTTTATATCCGCATTGTGGAGAGCAATATAAGGTGGCAGAAATAACAAAGAATGAAAAAACAAAAATTCTACCTAACTTTTAGCTATATAAAGGATTTGAGCATTTTAGTCAGTGT